AAAGTCAACTAACCATTGGAATAGAACATTCTGACAAAAGCTCATATCAGATTACTTGCTGGTGATTAACAATTCAAGACATACAAAAAATTCAGTAGCTAACACAATATCAAAGCTCCACATTAACGCAAATGAATTATTCGAATCAGGTATAACTTGTTGACCCGTGTATTAAACCCTCCACACATGAAAAGAAGGAAAAAAAAAAAGGAAGATGGTCCATTGAGGAACAGAAGATCAAGTAAAGATAGATAGTCGTTTGGCAATCAAAACAAAAAGCGCACCCAGCGGTCTAGGAAATCAAAGGCCACATTTCATATCTTATTAACAAGTCAGACTGGCAGTGGCAGAAGGGATTGCGTGCCTTATCGCTTTCATCAGAGAAAAAATTGGCATTCCACCTCAAGAATCAAAGCAAATTTGTTTTAACGAACATTTAACCCCATGTATAGAGGTGACAGAGTTTGTAAGGTTATTAAAGGTGCCAATATTCAGAGGTACTTCCAAAAGAAATCAACGAACTTAAGAAAGAATTGCAAAGAAGGATTAATGAGTACGCAAGTTCAAATATCCCCTTGAGGCATTCCCCCAGTTTTACACAATAGCAAAGCCCAAAATCCAAGGCACCAAAGACAGGCCATCCAGTAAGGCACACATTACATGTAGAGATAGAAATCAGCGACAAGAAGAAAAATTTCATTGCAGTTCAATGTATCATATCTAAAAGTTGCAGACAGCAATGACACTTTCTGTGGCAGCAAGACCTCAAATTACAAAACTGTAACAAACTTTCTTAAAAACCCCAAAAAAGTCTTAAATTTGACAACCCAACCTGATTAATAAAATACCATGACCAATACATAAAGAAGAAAAAACTGAAAGGAAAGGACTATTAAGCCAAAGATTAGACATCTACGAATGCATTTCCTCATACATACGGCATAATATTTTTCTCAAGATAATAACAAAATTCAAGCATGCTAAATTCAATGATTTTAAATGTATTTGGCCCATCAAAAGGGGGAGGGAAAGTCAATTGTTGAGCTATATAATTCCATCAATGCATAGAAAGTTAATTACCTTAATAAGCTTTCGATTTTCTGTCAGAAGTTTTAAGTTTGTCGCCAACAGCCTTTCAAAATTCAGGGGTGCCATGTATTGCTCCTATAGAAAGAACATGATGTTAGAATCATAGAAGGGAAATAAAAAAATGAAAAAAAAAATAAACCAGAATGCAACATATCAAAAGTGAATTAGAACTCAACTTATCCATTTATTGGTGTTTGTAAAGATCCTTGCACATTAATCCAGACATAAGTATGCACCTTTTCATCAAATTACATGTGAGATCATTGTCGCAACTTGAATGGAGGTTGTGGAGATTCATAATTGAAAATCAAACAAACGCAAGAAAATTATCAAGCGAAGTCATCCAGACTGCCCAGTACAACTGGGAAAGAAAATATTTCTGATATTATGATTACTACATGCAGCCATAAACTTTGGTATTTAGATGGTAGCAAATATTATTTCATTATGTAAATATTTTTAGTATCCTTTATTATCAAAAGAAACCAAATATATTAGAAATTTAAAAATAAAATAAGGAGCAAATATATATATGCCGAAAAAAATTTACAAACAAAAAAATGAATAAGAATGAAATTTAAAGAGAAAAAAAGTTCGACATGTGAGCATCACTCCAACCCAGAACAAGCCCAGCATTTTACTGAAATAGAAAAAGGAATACATCTCATGAAAGAACAAAGATTATCTACAGCATATGAAGATCAAAAGTTTAAGCACCAAACTAGCCGGCTCTTTTAATATAGTACTTCTGCACAAAACATTCCAAAGTTTAGGAATCACGGGTCAAATACACCAAAGTTGAATACCTCTATGTACATGGCAATTGCAGTCCGATTAGAACCATGAGGTTCCTTCAAATTGGTTATAGCCTCCAATATAAGATTATCCAACCTACATTCATGAAAATAAATTCCAAAAGATCTTGTCAAATAAAGACATGAAGTGAAGAAAGTAGCGTGACATTCCACTATCATGCTGTTTATAACCTGTGAACGCGCTTAAATAGGATATGCATTTATCTTATGATCAAATGTATGGGTACTCAAGATTTAGGGCCTTCAGATTAATTTAGTGCTATGGGTACTCAAGTGCATGCCTAGAATCAAACTTCAGAAAATGAAAAGCATCATATCAAATGAGAAATAAAAGTAACCTTGAAATTGGCTTCTTAGAACCAACACGTTGCAGTGGTCCCTGAGATGTTGCAAGAGGTTTAACATCATAAACAACATTTTGCATTGCTTCATGAGAGCTTGCAACAGGTGCAGCATCAGAACCATTTTCCAATGGTCCTCCAGATATTTCAACAGGCCTAGCATGAACAATTTCTTCTACTGGCGGGCTATGAGTTGTGGAGTTCTCATCATGCTTGGGAGTCACCTGATTGCTTTTAATTGCAAGCCTAGCCCTTTGGCGAGACCCCCATCCACTGGCCATCACATTCATATTTCTCCATTTATCCTGTCCGGAATCAAATAGCATATCCATAAATACATCTTGTACTGAATGTAAAAAAGAAACATAAATACAGCACAAGGAACTCTTATATGTTTTTAAATGCATCAAACAAATTCAGCATGCCTAACCCAGTCAAACTTCAGACATAAAACATGGGGAAATTAAAGTGCTGCAAATCTTGTACCTTAAGGTCTACATTAGAACGCGAACGCAAAATAGTGCTGAACTGTGGGTCTTTTAGTATTGTGCTCCATTTGCCTGCCCCATACTTAGCTATTCCAGCCTTAAGAGCAGCTTCTTCTTCTGATGTCCACTTCTGCTTAGGAGCACCCATCAACAGGTGTCCAAAAATTGTCCTGCAAAAGAAGAACAGTTAAATCTTGCTCTCTTCTTAGTACATCTGGAAAATACCGAAAGAATTATATACACATACGAAGGTGAAAAACATTTTAGCATTTATAACCAATAACTATTTATATAGGTAAACTGGTAAAGAATAATATATGAACCAACCAGAAATTAAAATTGATGTATAACTGTAAACCTTCAAGGACAAATGTAATGGAAACAAATATTTCCACAACAATAAGTTGAAGGGTTTTTTCCCTCTTTATAGGCCTACAAAATCTAGGAGAGTGAGAATCTATCTTTAGACTTGTACACATGTTTCCATCAAACAGTGGAAGTTAATTCAGAGAATCAGGGGAACTTGGTTAGATCCATTCAGACAGTGGCGAAAGATTGGCCGCCTCTCATGTCATCAAAAACATTAAAAAACACAGAAAGAACACTTGAACATTATATGCCTATATGTCATCCTTAATCTTGAACGCAATCAGACCACATCACTTCCGCAAAAATTCACGCCATTGTCCTCGCTAATATCAGTATATTGCCCAAGAATCTGTTGTAAGACTATAATTAGTGTTTTGTTTACGTATCTGATTACTTGTAGGTTTACAAAAAATATAAAATAAAACGTTGGTACTAATATCACAATCACAATAAAAAAAGGCAATGCAATGGTTTTTCACAAACATCACACAACGTACATACATGATCAAAACAGTAAGATAAGCAGAAGGTAACCCATATTCTAATGCTAATTTGAGCAACATCAAAAGAAATTGAGTAGAACAGCATCAACTACTTCATCGGTCACTGCATACATCGCATAGGGAAAATTGAAATTGAGTTCATGAGTGTTTTTGTAGTTCAGTGTGTGTGTGTGTGTATACCGCAAAAAACGACTGGCACAGGTCTTGGGCGGTAGAAAAATCAAGTGCTGATCAAACACGAGCCGGAGGAGTCAGAATGGATTAACGCATGGTTCGTCATGAACGATTGAAACCCTAGAAACGAGGGCATAGAAAATCATACAGAAATAGCCGCTTTTCCCCCTTTTCCCCCCTTCTCTCTCCCTCCCTCCTCTTCGTTCTCTTCTGATGAAGTTTTCAGCTACAAGCGATTGGCCTCGTATTTTTTCCACATTTATACGAGTACCCTAATAATTAAGGAGAAGATAGCCGTACCAAAAAAAAAAAAAATAGTAATGCTACGTAAATTTAAAAATTAAGTTTAAAAATTAAATTTAATAATTTTAATAATTAAATAGATAGTAGGTTCTAATAAATATTAAGATTCACAGTTAAATTAACAGTTAAAATTATCGAGTCTAATTTTAAATCTATTTTTTAAATGCACGTAACATTACAAAAAAAATGGTACCATGTACAAAATTTATTTATTTTTTAAATTTAAAGGTTTTTTTTTTTATACTTTTTAAGATTATTTATAAATGGGTTATTTGCTCGGGTGGTCCCCAAATTATTAACTATGCCTCATTTTTGTTCATAATATTTTAATTAAATTAAACTGACGTCCAAAATATTCACTTTGATTTATTTTAGCCCCAACCACAGACGCCGTTTGTTTTTTATCGTCTCCGTCTCCATGTGCCATTCACGTGAGGGGCAAAGTAGACATTGCACATATCTAGTATGGGAGGGAAACATTTCCACCAATTCCTCCACGTTCACGTTATAGCTTGTCAGCCCAAAGGAAGCAAACAGAAAATTTAAATTCAAGGTCTCGAGGTCAAATAAACCTAATTACCTATGTACTCCTCATACAACTAGTCCAATTGAGATCATCATCTAAGCTTAGCATGCTTTAACTGTTTGTCTACCATCTCAATCACCAATAACAAACACCCTGAAAGAACCATAGAGAAAAATAACATCATCCTTTTTCATAGAAGATATAGCACCAATCAAAATCGGAACAAATGCGGACAAACAAATATTTCATGGAAGAAGCTACTACAAGGCAAAAATTACTGACATGCAGTTTTATTTACAGCAAGCAAGCAAGTGGACTAAAGGATGCTCAGAAAACTCCCCCAACACGGGAGGAAAGTCACCAAACATCCAAAGATCCACCGGATTCCCACCATCCTGAGTTGTGCTGTCATAGAGGAAAGTGTCCACTGAAGCATCCCAATTCCCTTCAAGATCAGGGATCTCGAAGAACTTCATCTGGGACTCAAATGCAAAGAGCTCTTCAGACAAACTATTCACAGTGCTTTCTTTACCAGACACCAAGTCCACAGAGTTGGACTCCAATTTCTTTGTAGGATTAGCATCCTCCACCAGTTGAGCTTCATCATCTTCTACTGTGGCTGTGAGAACGGATGATATTTCTGGAGCCTTGGAGCAATAGTCTCCCCACCCAAAGTCAGAATAATCAAAAGAGTTACTTCCCTACAGTAGCATGGTGTTGCCTCCATTTTCGCCAACTCCTCCATAACATGAATTTCATCCCTCACGTTTTCCTCTTTCTTCCCTTCTCTTCCTCTTTTTTCCTCCCTTTTCTTCTTCTTTTTGGTTTGAGATGTTCTGTTTGCTTCCTTTGTCTGCTGGACAAGCTGGGCATGGAGACGTGGGCATGAAGGAGTTGGCGGGAATGTTTCCCTCCCGGACTAAGTATGGGCAATGTCCACTTTGCCCCTTACGTGAATGGCACACGGAGACGGAGACGACAAAAAACAAATGGCATCTGCGGTGGGACCAAAATAAATCAAAGTAAATGCTTTAGAAATTAATTTGATTCAATTGAAATATTGGGAACTAAAATGAGATAAGTTAAATAATTTGGGGACCATCAGAACAAATAACCCTTTATAAATTTAAGAGGTCATTTAAGTAACCAAAAAATGGTTGGAAATTTTTTTATTGTAAAAAAGTTTAAAACTTGTTTATCCAGTGCCAATCGATAAAACTTGTAAAATTTGATAATGATACTGAATTTTTTTTGAGTACAATAATTTTCTCTAAAAAAATTTTGATTTGATGAATAAAAATATATAAAAAAGAATCACTTCAATAGACGATAACCGTTTACTCTTCCCTTGGTACCGTAAAAAGTATTAGTTTTTTTTGGATCAAAATAACTTTAGAAAAATAGTTCTTTTGGGTATTAATTATTGTAATTTTAGACACGTTAAATTTTAAAAATTGTATGAGTATTTCATATAGAAAATTTTCTTCAAGGATATTTTTGGTATTTTATTATAGAAACTAGGAAAAATATTTCATTGAATTGAACTTTTTGTGGGTCCCATTGATTAAAAAAAATTGAACTTTTTGATAAAAGGTCACAAAAATATCAGGTTAGTTTTCTTATTTTAAAAAAGAGTGGGGTGCGTTCTGAAATTTCCCAAAAATTCTTTAAAGTTTGTTTTGCGCATCATATATTGCAGAATTTTCATTCTTGTTTCAGCTTCAGGAAAAATGTCGAGCTCTCTGCGACGGTTCGCGAGCCATTCTCGCCAGGCCTTTCGATCCAATGCCGCCCCATTCTCAAGACTACTATCTACAGACTCGTTGGTTGAGATCTACCCCGGAGAGATAGGTAGGGTCTCTGGTATACCCGAAGAACACCTTCGAAGGAGGGTATGATGCGAGCCCTTTTGATTTTCCATCTCTTTTTTCGCTTAATTTGACTCGTCTTTCGTTATTGCTGTTTTCGACCTATTGAGACGTGAGATTACCTTGTTCCGTTCGTCATTCAGCCATGAAATACCTATTGAATGATAAGTTTTACCTCTAGGGTTTCGTTTAATACTTCACCATCATTTCTGATGGATTCAACCTGTAGGGTTGTGTTTTTATTTATTTTTAGTACGTATTCTACGGGAATGGGAGCGTAGCTACATCAATTTTGTTTACCTGGGCGAAATTTTGCTGGTTGAGTTGACTTGCTGGCTATGATTGGGAAAGAATTACTTGATGCCATTCTCCAGTTGCCAAGTCGAATTTCAGTATCCATTTTTCTACTTGCTAGATCAAATAAGTTTCCAGTTAAAAAAAAAAATCCAATTGCTGTTGGATTTTTCAGAAAGTGAGCACGTATTGCTTTAAATTGTTAGCGAGCTACTATCACTTTACCATTCATTGCTCTCTTTAGGAGGCTGTAAAAGAAGATGTAACTATAGAGTGAGAGTAATAGAGAGGAATGTGGAGATGTAGATAGAGGGAATATTGCATGGATGATCAGAGTCATGAAATTCGAAGAGAATGTAGCTTGGTGGCGGTTGGCAGTGGTCACAGGGAAACTACATCTCTTTCTTAAAAGCAGAAGCAAGTAGAGCTTGCTTTGGTTAAAACAGAGAAATTGCAATTGCCAATAGTTATATTTTAATTAGAATTTGACCACGAAGTATATAATGTGGATTCAAATTGACAATAATTTGTCCTCACCAACATAGAGAAGTTAAGAGATAGGTTACCCATGGTTTAAGATCCTTAGGTTGTGGTTAGAATGCAGTAGTTGGAGACAACTTTGTACATGCTTTTTTGGAAGTAGGTGTGCTGTCAGATTGGCTTGGTATTAATGTGTATTCACATATCTTCTATATGTCAAGGATGTCTCTTTTCCTCACACATGAACTCAAAAAATAAATATAGTTCTTATTTCTGTTATTATCTTCATGTTAACATGAATTGCAATAATATTTACTTGATATATTACTTTTATGGATTTCTGGACTGTACAGTTGTAGTCTTGGTTTTGTGCTTCTTAACCATCTTTTTGACTGGACAACTTGATGTGAATTTTTATCTAACCGCCTCCCTTCTTTAAAATGAAAGAACTCTAGTAAATGGCTAACCCAGTCCTACTAGGACACTGATTAGGGGCGTATTCCTTGCTTCTTTAATAATATAGTTGTGATTGAGGTTCGTGTTCAACAGTAATTTACAACTGTTTCTTACATTTATGGTAGGTTGTAATCTATTCACCTGCTCGAACTGCTACTCAACAAGGATCAGGAAAAGTTGGAAGGTGGAAAATCAATTTTATTTCAACCCAAAAGTATGTCTCATTTTTTATCCTATTCTTATCCTTTCATAGGAAGTTTTTTTTTTCGCTTTTCTGTTCCTCTTTCAAGAAACTTAGGGAAGTATATATGTTAGTCCAATATGTCCACTTATGTTTTAATGTTCTTTGTTTAATCAGGGTAGTATCTATTCTACTTTCATAGCTAGACTTCTTTTCACATTCCTATGCTCAAGTGAAATGAATGGAGGAATTTAAGCTTGGTTCACTTCAGAGCTTGTTGACTTTCACTCCAAGGACTGGGCTAGGTTTTCAGGAAGTTGTTTTTTGCTTTTTTGTTCCTCTTTCAAGAAACTTAGGGAAGTATATATGTTCGTCCAATATGTCCACTTATGTTTTAATGTTCTTTGTTTAATCAGGGTAGGATCTATTCTACTTTTGTAGTTAGACTTCTTTTCACATGCCGATGCTCAGGTGAAATGAATAGAGGAATTTAAGCTTGGTTCACTTCAGTGCTTGTTGACTTTCACTCCAAGTACTGGGCTAGGTTTGCAAATGGACTGAACCAATAAAATAAGGGAAAAGAAGTTACAAAAGGCTGGATTTCTGGACACTTGTAACCTCAGCATAACCTGGAGTTAACTAGCTAATGGAAATTCAAATATGTCTATTAAAGAGAGTGCTTTTAGGGAACTAATTGTCCTTAGTTTCGTGAAGCTGCAATTTCTTTTGTCAACAGAACTTCACTTTGAAGTTCTGATATATTTTATGGGAGCAAGTGGGCGTGTGTTTTAGGGTTCTAGATCGTATGCATTCTGAAGTTTTGTTCCTCACTGGGTGCATTGAATTTGAGGGAATATTACTCTTGAGCTTTGTTTCTTTGGGTTGGTTTCTCTCTCTCTCTCATTTGTATGCATTCTGAAGTTTTGGTTCCCCACTGGGTGCTTTGAGGATAAAGGAATATTTAGTTTAGTTTTTTTTTTTTTTCCGGTTTGGTTTGCATTTTTCGGGGTCAGTGTATGAAGAAGTTTGCCCTTTTCTCTTTGTATCATGCTTCTTATTGACTTGGACTCCATTTAATTCACATTATCTGTAGTATATAAGTATATAACCTCAACTGCATAGAGATGTATCTGTATGGTCAAACTTGAACTGCAATTGACAACCATCACCGTATTTGAGACTAGTTCTATGTTTCTCACTCCTGTTGAGATAAAAACATCATTTTTGTTGAGTTCAGCTCTGCAACAAATGCATGCGGATTTCTATAAGGGAAAGCTCAGTGTAATATTGTGTGATTGGCTCTCGATTAATCACGATAAGAAGTATGCTTGTTGATATATTGTGACAACTCAGGCTTCTTTCCAATTGAATTCAAGTCTTTGTGGCAACTAAGGCATGAGAATTGCAAATATGTCTGGTACACCATTAGTTATAGGAACAAGTCCCTTATGTTATATCATTAATCAGGTGTATATATCATTAATGACATATCATCCATGCTCCCTGAATTATTCCCGACTTGTACCATGGTAGTTGAACACTTAACTGAACTCATACGATATATATGTTCTGATATTATTTACCAGATGCAAAACATTTCACTTACTGCATGCTTTATGTGTGTGTTTCATTAAGCATCCAGAGTAAGTCTTCATTGAGAACATCCTCTTTTCCCAATTATGCATATTCTTTCTTGGAATTTAACAGTTCCCTGGCG